GCACGTGTACAAAATTAATGGCATGGACAGTAAGGAAAAACGATATACTTTGTTTACGCCCCTAGAATGAATAGATGCAAGCTTAATAATTTATTATTACTGCTAAACTAAAACGATTTGCAAACTAGCAATATACTCACATCAGAGATGGAAAATAAAATTTTCAAATTGTATTTAATTTGAAGAAAAGATTTTACCTAAAAGCAGACGAATGTATCTAAAAAAAAAAAAAATAATATGATCACACATTTCACATTTCGTAAATACGAAAAAGCAAAGGGGATCTGCCTTACAGCGGTCTTCTCTGATATATCAGAGTTATATTCAGAGTTATATATGTTAATCTCTGTTCAAACTAGAAGAATCTTTCCAGGCCAGGACTGGGAGGGGTGCAGTATCTGGAATCGCGGTCCTGTAAACGTATGGAATCGGATGGATCGAATCTCAATGGGAATGTAGGCGGAGGTGTGTTCTGCGAAGAACTCTTCATCAACCTGAAATGCAGGCCACCGGATCACTAGAGTTTTTCAGATCAAGGTAGCCGCAATACAGGAGGCTTCGGATTGGTTGTTCACTAGAGTAACGCCTTTCAAGGAGGTGAATATCTATTCCATCAAGGGCTTTTGACTGTCTGATGGTTAGTTCGAGAACGGTGAGGGATTGGTCCCTATCGACCGCATCGGAATATTATGCTATTAACCTCATTTGAATACCGGGTCACAGTGAAATCGCTAGGAAAGTGCATTGTCGATGAGATGGCAAGGGAACCCTGGAAGAACTGAAGAGTTAGTCTGGGTGCTCTCCTGACCTCGTGTGCTCTACTCCTGCACAGTGGGGTGTTTTGTCATTTCAGTGGGCGCTGGGCAAATAACTTGAAATGAAAGGTAGCAAAATCCTTCTGGCCACGTGTATACCGGAGGTGGTCCAGGGAGATATTGGGACTAAGAAAGGTACACCTCTACTTAGTGATGGTATTTCTAACTGGTCATCGATGACCCCTTTTGCGCCAGCTACATGGAGGACGATGAGGTGGAATCAGCTCAACGCCTGCTGCCGCGGTGCCGTGCATTTGCGAAGATTAGGTTTAAGCATCTTTGGACGCACTACTTCCAAACTCCCGATGAGCATTCGGGAATGGATATCAGTCGTTTGAGGAGCTTCGTGGTGAGCATGGAGCGTTTTTCTTCCCCTCCCTCTCCCCCTTTTTCATCCTCATCGCTCCTTCATTCCTGTGCCATTTTCGCTCATCAAGGTCACCACTATGGTAAGCTTAATTATTGTCCAAGTACCATCAATATTGAACCTTTCGGCCCTTTACTCAAGCCTTAAGAATGGAGCGAAAGATATTGGTTTAGCGGTTACCTCATAGCAATAAACAAAGGGGCATGCAACTGTTCGACAGCCATTACAACGAAGCTAAGACCAAAGGACTTTATTTATTTAGAAGCATACTATCAGTCTGGGATCGAACGAAGCAAACTCTTGCAGTTTATTTAGGCAAGTTAAAAAACAGGATCTTGCTAAATACGAATCAGCAACGTAGACGATGTCGAGTGCGTTGGAGAGAACCAATCTATGCCAGGTTTGTGGCCGTTGGGATTAACTATGCAAGTCAAGCTTAGCTGGATGCGTCTGCAAGAATGAAAAAAATCCTGAAAAATTTATTTGATAATGTTGTAAATGTACCGATTTTCGTACATGTACTTATCTACCTAATGTAGTCTCAAATTAAAAAGGGGTCTACAATTGTCCCTACTTTCCCATCACTGATTCAAAATAGCGAAATTAATGGATATTTTAAATGTACAAACAATAGTTTTGCATACATATGTATGTACATAACGAAAGTTAGCAATTGCATATATATAAAAAAAATCAAATATTACATTAACCGTTATAATTAATAATTAAAGTTCATTTAAAATAATCAAAGGAAGTCCAGAAGGTAATAGATATTATATTATAATATAAATGCAATTTTGTTTACTTTTCTTGTGGACTTTTAAATACACATTTAATATGTCTTCGAGTACATGACTTATTGGATTTTTTTCGAATGCATACATATGTAGATGTGAAATAAAAATTGGTTTTGTATCAAATTAATGGACTGCTTATCATTATTATATGCACATACATATAAACAATTAGTAATTAATATGATTCATTAAAGTCAATTTTGAATCAAAACAAATTAACACATACATACAAAAATGCATCTACCTACATACATATATTTGGGAAGATCATCGTCCCAAGCTATTCTTTTGAGCATATTTTGCTCTACACACAAAGACGTGACCAATTTCTAACCAGTGTTCGGACCATAAAACTTCATTTCCGCAGTGAAGCTATAGACTAGGCGGAAATACTGGCACTAACTGTAGTAAGAATACACTCTCAGGTTCTAGGTAAACTAATAAAGCACGCCTTAGCTATTGCGGGGGTCTGTACAAATCTCCTTACAAGTAATAGTAAAGTTCCCCAAATTTCGACTCCCATCGTAAATGGTGTCACTCAGTTATTTCGTTCATATCTTGGACAGAAAGTTTGCCTGGAAGAGAAACGCTGAAGAATGGCCCAGAACGCATGCAGGTCCGCATGCTAAAACGATGGATAAAACTTCGATAAAGGAAGAAAAATCCTTGAAGCTGTCATCAATTTCCTATATTTATGGCAACCGCTGTGATTGAGTGGTTAGAGGGGCGTATTACCACTCCGCAGTACCTAGGTTCGATCTGGTTCGAGCAACATCTAAATTAGAAAAGGTTTTTTTTTTTTCGAACAGTGATCGCCCTTCGGCAGACAATGGCAAACCCAAGAATTTGTGTATTTCTGCCTTGAAAAATCTTCTCATAAAATCCATTTGACGTTCGGAGACGGCGTAAAACTGTAGGTGCCTCCATTTGTGTTATAACGTCGCCCGGCTTGGACTCGTTAAGGAGATCGTCATTGGAAGGCGAGGAAATCGAGACCGTCTCTAACATTTTCACTGACACAGCTTAGACATGACTATGTGTCCTTCAATACTATTTCCGCGTTCTGCTCGACTTAGAGTGGAACTCCACGTGAAGCTTTTCAGGCTTTTATCCTTCTAATCAGCTTTAGTTTTGAATGTCGGCATGAGTGCCGAAAGGTATAGTATGGATCTCCACTCTTATGTCCGATGAAGATCTATGATTTCCAATTGGTTATATTTTCAAGTATAAGATCGGAATAAATTACGAGCCAAAACGGTACCACAACGTACCTGCAGGCTTAGGTATGTCATCATTACAAAGTTTGAATGATCCCACAAAAATCTTAAACATATTCTTCGAAGTGAAAAATATTCACACAAAAACTGATGAATGTATTCTACCTCTTCCTCGTCTCTACAGGAATTGGCATGCGCGACTTTGAACTTGGAAGTGGTAGAGAAGCTACAAATTGGTTAATACGAGTCTTAGCTCAACTTTTAAAACCCAAAACCTCAGATTGCTTGTCGCGTGCGTTAGGCCAAAATTGCCTTTTATGTAGACGATAAATCGGCCAAATATAGGGTATGTCCCCTAACCTAATACACTATCTAGTCACTGTGGTTATCTGACTCAATGATAACTTTGCGGTAGAAGTTCAATTCAAGTGGAAAGAACATCTCTCACGTGCATCACTGGTGCTCACTTTTGATAACGGGATTATGGGTCGGAGGACTTCCGGCCAGATGGCTCTAAACTGAAAAATAGAGTTGAAGGAGGCGTTTACTGTAGTCTAACTCATACTCTCTCTCCCCAAGGAGCCTAGTCTATTGGCCAGCTCTTACCGAAAATTACGTCGTTAAAAAACTATGTGGAATTCAAAGGTCAGCAGCCGTTGTCGCAAGGGTTCTGGCCCAGTAAATACTGCGGTAGTTCTCGCTAAGCAGTCAGCCTCCTCGTTGTCCCGGTACCCATCCTAATAAAACAGTATTTTTGGCTCCAAGAGCGTTTAGGGCATTGAAGCAATCATATCGTGGTCGAGAATTTATTTTGAGGGACTTCAGTGCCAGTAGGGCTGCCTGACTATCCGACATAATGCATATATATTTCGAGGATTTGCCTCTTCCAAGACATTATTTGCCACAAATTTCTTTTTCATGAATTTACGCTTGGTATCGATTTTTGGAGACGATTGATGTGTAAGCAGCCAACATAAAGCGTTTATTTGAAGATCCTAAAGATTTGAGAAATCAGTGGTCTTTGGTTCTTCAGGAAAGCAAAACGGTCGCTCGAAGTAGTGATTCTCCAGATATGTTCCAAGGCAAACGGCGTAGAACAAGAAAACTGAATGACAAATTACTTCAAGAATCCATGGATTCGAATCCTGAGGACTCATTGGAAACATGACGATACGATTTGATGCTCTTTATAATCTTGAATGAAAACTCTCTTCTTTTTTGTAAGTACCTTAAGCTAAACGCGGAAACTCTGCAAAATCAAGCTGCATCCTTTTGAGAAACTTACGATGACCTACTTATCGCTTTGATTGAAGAAATTATACATTTAAAGACTATAAGAAAATCTTGGATTCTAACATCCGCCTGCGTTCCCACACTTAAACAAGTGAAAACGGACGCATTATTCCCTAATATCTGCGTGTCACTCCGAATCTTCCCCACTAATGCAGCGACTGTTGCTGAAGGCGAACGGTCATTCAGTCTATTAGCGAACATTACCAATTTGTTAAGTTCCGTGTGAACATAAGAAAACCGTTCAGTTAAAAAAAATACTAAAGCTTCATTATGCGAAATATTTCTTTTTAATATTTTATTTTTTATTTCAGAGCTAGTTATAAATTTTCACAAAAATTTCTTTAAAAAAAAGTCCTGATCAGAATTAGCAAATGCTGCAGTTTGATTCATCTGTTTTATTTAATTTTATTCATGTTAGATAATTTTTTATTTTTTCAATCGCTTCCAGCCTTTTTTCCGATCCTCTTTGATAAAATTTAGAGTAATAGATACATTTGTAGCTAATCAATTCTTAAAAATGCACAATTTTTCGTAGCAAGCTTCAAAAGTTTTGAAGTATTCTTAAGTAGGTAATAAAAACCACAATTAATTAATTAAGCTTTTTTACTGTCGCGAATTAAGCTTTATTAAACGCACAACTCGTTTTGCAGATCGATTCGCAGACACAGCAAATTTTAAGTGACTAAAATTTTTAATATTCATACATTTATTGTTTTTTGTTGTAATCACTCAACACCGCTGCAAAACACAGAAAATCTTTTATTCAATTTGCTACACAAACTGAAGCGCGTCCTATTTTCCTTTAAAAACAAACAAAAAAGTATTGCCGTTCAAACAACTGGCGTCGTAGTTCAAAGCAAACTGTTTATGCCCTAAGTAGGTGGAAGATATTTTATATTAAGGCATTTACTCCATAACACAGAATCCGAAAATGATATTCTGTTAAGCGCGACACTACGTACAACAAACAGCTTACAAACAATCAACACAAGCTTACTTCCACCACAATGGAGCGACGTTTTGGAGCATGCTGACTCTGCAAACGAGCTCAGGGCCTCCCTCAACAACAACAACAACAACAACAACAACAACAAATTCGCCGCCGCCGTTTGTGGGGCAAGATGCGTGTGCTGCTGTCTATATTTGGAGTGCGCAAGATCTGACATTATTTACACGTGTTGTTGTTGTTGTTGGTGCTGTTGGAAGCAGTGAAGCTAGCTTAACAATCTCTGCTAGCTGTGCTAAAAAGTTATTGCATATCGTGAGCTGAGTATTGAGTGCTGAGTGAATTGTAAGCGACATTGCTCTTCTCTGCTGCTAAGCGTGATTTCAGAAAATGGAGAATTGAAGCTTGTTTTGTTGTACATACATATGTATATATATCGCATACGATCTTCAAAGCTGACATAACTCAAAATTAAACGTTTGTCGGAAAATGAGAAAAACTATTTCTTAGCACATGCTAATCATATCGGCAAGGGACGTTTTACCATAGGTTTTTTCAACAAATTTTAAAAAAAATTTGCTCCAACTTTTGCTTAAAGGTAAATAAAAACTCCGTGTACATGGTTAGCGTATAATTTCAAAAAATGCCAAATTTTGAATTGTATGACTTTTGAAGATCGTGTGCGATATACATATATATGTATGTATGTATATTTTGCAAACGAAATTGAGTGACGTGGAGCTTGGAGTACAAGTACATAGATAGCTTTTAGCTTAAGAGACATTTTCATGTCTGTTGTACCGTTGCATTCACGTGCTGCGCTAAATCCGTACATGAATCTAGCCACCATATTTATTTAGCTGGACGGTCGCATTTTTTCATGTACCTACATACATACATATGTACCACGTATCAAGATAATGCAAAACCACGTATGTGAGGTTGTCCACGTTTTACAGAAGAGAGTAAAACCTGTGTTACGAGTATTTAAAAACGGTTATCTCTTTTATCCCTAATTATATCTACCTTTATTATCTGAATATCGATATTGTGGTACGAAAGGTAAAGGCTTGATGCCAGGAGCTTCCGGTGAGCAAATCTCATTTTTGGCTCAAATGTCAGTTACGAGTTCGAGTGTAACCTAGGTTCATGGCCGGCCAACTAGTTACTCATACACAAGTATGTATGTACATTAGGGTGGTCCAAAATGAAAGTTTAAAATTTTAAGCTCTAAACCCCTTCAGTTTCACAATACAGTAATTGTACCGAGTTTGGTACAAATTGTTGGAACGGTTAGCGAGATAAAAAAAATGTATTCCAAAAAGTTGTTTTAAAGGTATTTCTTGCTAAATTTTATCGCAAATATCAATTTTGAACGAATTCGCTTTAGTAACTAGATACTGGTTTATCGAAAATTTCGTATATCTCTAAATTACGGTTATATGGGATGTGGGCGTGGTTACTATCCGATTTTAAAAATTTGCAGTCGTTTGTTTTGTTTGTTGTTTTGGACTAACAACTGTGCCAAGTTTGGAAAAAATCGGTGAAGCGGCTACCGAGATGTACAGGCGTAGGTAGCTACGCCCATTTTACAAAAATTTTTAATATTCTTTTTTCCCCCCAAGAGATCATTGTAAATATCAATTTTGAGTGAATAAGCTTCTGTAGCTACTAAAATATCGCAGTTTTCGTATTTCTGAAAACTACCGTTATATGGGGGGTAGGCTTGGTTATGGTCCGATTTTGCTCATTTTCAAATTCTAAAAAATCAACCGTAATTTTTAGACATTTGAAACTTGTACTTTGTTTTACTAGAATTCCATGGGCTACAAAACTGTATACTCAGAATTTTTCTAGGAAATCTAATTAAAAAAGTTAGAAATTTCTACGAAAGTTTGTTGATTCTTTTTTCAATATTGCACAAAGTTTGAAACTTGGATTTATGTACATGGGTTTTGTTAAATAATGAACTATATTTTTATAAAAAAAATAACCAAAATTAAATAACAACAAAAATAATATGTTAAAATTTGTCAAAATGCGGTGCGGCTTCAATTATTTAATAACCATA